GTAACTGGGACAACACAGGATACTGTGGATAGTTACTATTAAACACTTGGGGAGAGCAGGATGGATTCACCCACCTGCAGATCAACACCCTGGGGATTAGTTCAAGCTCAGCAGTGGCCCTGCTGGAGCAGCACTGCTCTGGGGGGCCTTGGATGCTGTTGCTGATGCTGATAGTTTGTGCCATGTTACAGTTCTGTGTTTGGATGAAAAAAGCCCCCCAGGACCAGTAGTGGATGGCCTAGTGCTATTGAGCATGCCACTGCAAGTCCAGGGCCTGGGAGTCAAGATCAGAGACATCCAAACTAGGTCAGCATGGAGTTGTTTCAGGTCTGGCAGATTTAAGAGCTGAAGATATGTGCTGAAACAAATCAGTTCTGTACTTCTGCTAGACCTGAAATGGCTTTGCAAGCCATTTAACTGCATTCCTGTGGTGCTACATCTAAGCTAATGAACCTCTTCAGAGTTCATTGAACTTCCAGCCAATTTGGGATTATCTATACACATGGAGTGGTAATTTTATTTAATTAGTATAAAGAAAGTCTCTTTCATTCAGATAAATGAATTTTTGACAGAGGCAAATCACCAAATTGGTTTCACTTATGATTAAATAATAATTTGCTAATACTCCAAGTATAAAGGTCAGTCATTGTGAAAGCCTGGTGTTAGTCTGTGGGAAGAGATGGAAAATAATGCAGTATTGTTCCTTTGAAATCTTAACTCTGTGCAGTGTGCATTCTGACTTGTGCTTATTTATTGAAACATCTCCAATGAGGTGCAGCTGTTGTCCATCAAAGCTTGTTAGCCTGACACATGTGAAATCATGTGATTCATTTCCAAATGCAGAATGTAGGCTAATCATGAAGGTACCAGACTCTGAGGTATTGCATCTGTACATAAAAATGTATGGACAGGCCAGGCCACTGGCATTTTCCCAATCAGAATTGTATTTTCATTTCAGCTGGGATGTGAATTATGGTACAAATGAGTTTTCAGTATTATAGTGTTGTTGTTACTGAGTTGTATTTGTTCTTTGCAAGCTGGAAAGAGTTCAGTATTGTGTTGTTAGCCTGAAACCACTGAAAGTTTTTGCTCATGTCACATTCGGTAACTTTAATCTGTATAAGTAGTCTTGTTATCATTCTGTAAAAAATATCTATACATACAGTCATAGAACTAAGTGGGTAATGAGAAATGTGATGAAGATGACTCTTGGATGCTATGAAAATGCTTGAGCAGAATTATGTGTTAAATTAATGCAGAATAAACTTGAGTCTTTTGAGAATTCAGCTTTTCACTCTTTAGTAGAGAAGTACTGAAAAGTTCTGCCTCAAAAGCTTATGTTCAAGATGAAGCAAATTTGGAAAAAGTAACAATGGTGCAACAGCTTCAATTTGTTTTACGCTTTAGTTCCATTCTTGAGCATGGATACAGCTGTTAAAAGTTGGTGGAGGCAAATGATATTTTAACCTCTGGACACTAAAAGCTCTTTAGTTCTAGTTCCATAGAGGAACACCTGTCAAAATAATCAAAAAGACAGATAGTTCTTAGACTGATATTTAAAAAAAAAAAAAGAAAAATATCATTTCATTCTGCAGAAGAAACATTGTTTCTTCTGCATTTTTGTTTTTTGCCATATAAACCATTTTTTTTCCAGCATTCTGAGATGGAAATTGTAATCTTCTTTTCTATTGTGACCTTTTAAAATTCAATTTTATTATATTGCTTCATAACAACTAGTTCTAAAGTAGATGCTGAAAGTGTTTTGCTTTTGAAAATTAGGCCAGTGAAATTCATTACAAGAGAAAAGTCCACTGAACCACATAGTACACTCAAAATCCCAGTCTGTTTGATACAAAACCCATATTTAGGAAAATGACCCTTGTGTTTAAGACACTGTTTAATGTTTAGACATAATTGCATACAAATGGTATTTCCATATCTCACATTTACCATTCCAGGGCCAACATTTTCAGTGATTTTTTTCTTTAAGTGAGGTGGAGCATGCCTCCCTGTGTGTGTGGGAACACTCACTGGCTTTTGCCAGCAGAAGCAGGTGGTGTTCTCCCACCAGCAGTGCATTTGTTTGGGATGAGTAGTGTAGTGATTAACCACCCCACCAGCCTTCCTCTTCAAACAGGCTGGGAGCCACCTGGCCGTTCTCCAGAAGTCTCTCCTGATTCAGCACATCTTTGCAGCAGCCAGAGACACCCCCTGCAGTAGTGAGAGCTTGGCAGACTCTGCCTGTCCTGCTCTGATGTCCCATCATGGGACATCGTGGGCTTGTACTGTGTCCCACTAGGCCATTGAAATGCTCTGAAATGAAACCAGCTCCATTTATCAGAAACAATTAATTTTGGGCACATTTACATTGGAAACTGCTCTGTGTGTGCTGCTGTTATGAGGTTGCTCTACATCAGCAGGGCAAGAGCTCAAGTATGTACCAGCCTGCATTTCCCAATTTGCAGTCAGTGGGTTCTCTCTGGGAGAGAGACACAGGGAGAGCTGGAAGAAAGACTGTCTGTGTGGCTGGGTGAGCTTGATTAAAAGTTGGATACTTACACTAATGTCTCCCAAAGGTACACTGATGATGTCACAAATCCTGGATTACAGTGAGTTCTAACACTGACTGAGGACCTTATTAAACTTTAACAAGTTTTTGCTGCAAGTAGTCTTGTTCTTTTTCTGTCTTCTCTTACTTAAAACCCAAGACTGAGTAAAGGAGGCCACAGCAAGTGAAAAAATAAATGCTCATTTAAGGCATGTTCAAGAAAGGAGTTGAAAGCTACACTAAGTGCCTTTCTAATGGAGAGCTGTTTATCATCCTGAGTTTTACTGGAGTATGATAAAGAACCTTGTTCCAGCAAGCAGTGTATCTGGAGTCAAGCCCAAATTATCACCAGGGAAGCAAGAGTGATTTTTCATAGCCTTCAACATGCTATTGGAAGATGCATCAGTATGGTAATGAAGTAGGTGTAGGAATAGAGTCTCATCAAACTCCTATTTAAATTTTAATTCTCATTTCTCAAGTACGTGCTGGTGGGAAAATAGTGGCAAGTTTATGCTGCCTTTTTACTGAGGTGTAATTTCATCTGCTGTGCAGATGGACCCTGACAGGCTTGAGAGGCTGGCCTGTGCAATACTCGGGAAGTTCACCAAGGCCAGCTGAAAGGTCCTGCGCGTGGGTCAGGGCAGTCCCAAGCACAAAATGCAGACTTGAGAGCAGCCCTGCCAAGGAGAACTTGGATGTGTTGGCTGGGAAGGGGCTGGATGTGTGCAGTGTGCTCTCACAGCCCACAGAGCCAAACGTGTCCTGGGCCGCATCCAAAGTGCTGTGGGCAGCAGGTGGAGGGAATCTGTCCTTCTGCTCTGTTCAGCTGGGTGCTGTATCCAGCTTTGGGCTCTCTGACATTAGAAGGGCATGGATCAGCTGGAGCAAGTCCAGAGGAGGGTGGTGAAGCTGGTCAGAGGGCTGGAGCACCTCTCCATGACAGGCTGAGAGAGCTGGAGCCTGAAGAAGAGAAGGTTCTGGGGGTGCCTTGCAGCAGCCTTCCAGTACTTGAAGAAGGCCTACAGAAAGGCTGGAGAGGAACATTTTATGAGGGTTTTTAGTAATAGAACAAGAACTATAAATGGCTTTAGCCTGAAGGAGGTTAGATTACATGTTAGGAAGAAATTCTTTACTATGAAGGACACTGAAACAGGTTGCCCAGAGAAATAGATACCCCATCCCTGGAAGTGTTCAAGGCCAGGCTGGATGGGACTCTGAGAACCTGTCTGGTGAAAGATGTTCCTGCCCATGACAGGGGAGTTGAAACTACATGGCTTTTAAAGGTCCTTCCAAGCCAAACCAATCTATGCTTCTATGTCTTTCCTTGCAATATAATTCTTACCTGTTTACATTTTCTTCTCTAAGTGCCTTTGAATTTCAGCCCCCACAAAATCCTTACTCAATTGTTTTTATCTTTCTAAGCTAGAAAGTTCTCTCTCTTTCTAAGCTAGAGCTGTACATTAGAAAGGATAGCTTTTTTGATTTTTGTATGCTCTGTCTACTACAGATGTGGAGTATTCATTCTAAATCTGCTAAAACTAGATGTGAAAAGTTGGGTTTTAAAAGGTTTGCATTAACAGTAGAGAGTCATATTCTGCATTGGTGTGAAGCAAGTTATCTGCTAATTTGAGTGGTATAATATTACAGCTTCCATATGCTCTCTGCTTATGAAGCTCCCAGTGCTAGTGTATTGCTTTAAAGAAGTTTTCTGCTTCCCAGGGATGACTCCAGGGAATGCTCTATTTTCATTATTTGAGGAGCAGTTTTGCTTGCAAAGTTGACAAATTGCCTTGTGTGATATAGAGTGTAAGGAGCTTGTTTACACAGGCTGTCTGGAAAAGACAGTGTTTCGCACCGAACCCCCAAGTAATGCAGACATCAGGGAGAGCCATGTGCCACCTTCTTACTGAGCTTTGTGTTTCTCCAGTCTCACCATAACAAATTTTGTACATCAAAGTCTTTTCAGAATGATCTGCTAAGTAAAAAGTCAAACTTCCATCTTCACTAATGGGCTTGACACATAATCTGGAATTTTGTTCTTAAATAACAGTGATTTGCCTTCCTTAAAAAGGAAAATATTTTTTAACAGTTAGTGATATTTTGTTTTACAGTATTATAAGATACCTTTAACGTTTTCTTCAGCTTTAGGATGGCAAGCAGGGGGAAATCACAGCTAAAGAAGAAATGGTGTATTTAGGAGTCGGATCTCTGACCACTTGAAATGGGTAATAGGATCAGAAGGCAAAGGCCAAGTGGATTTATCACATCTAGTTTTGAGCCTGGCATTAACATGCCATGTATTTGAAACTACAACTTTTATACTAAAATAATCTTCCTGAAAGCATTTTTGACAGCATACTGTTTTAGAATTGCTGGAATGCGAATAATTTTCTTTTTCATTTCTATTTAGTAGCAAAATAGATCAAGTCTTGATTTTGATGTGTTTCCACAGGTATATCTTGAAAGACTCTTAACTTATGCAGAGATAGATATCTGTCCAGCAAACTGGAAGCGAATAGTACTGGGGGCAATTCTACTGGCATCGAAAGTGTGGGATGACCAGGCAGTGTGGAACGTGGATTACTGCCAGATCCTGAAGGATATCACAGTGGAAGACATGTGAGTGAAGGTTGTTTATCTTTGTCAATGAATGCCAACATCTGTGTCTGTGAGGGGGGTGGGAAGTTCTTTCATAGATTGTGTGAAGTTGGTGTGCTTATGTTGTAACTAAACATGGTGAATGCTGATAGATGGCATGAGGTCAGCTTGACAGCTGCTTACATAGAAGACATGAATTATTTTTGTTTTCTGGTTGAAATGTGTTTTACCACTGGATATTCAGGTACAATAATGAAAACAGATCTACAGAATATTTAAATGTATGGTTTGATAAAATTCCCCACATCCAGTGAGCTTGCATGTATTCACTTCAGCATCATTTCCTGTCATGCTATTTCTCCATGCACAGAATGGACATGTAAGGCAGGAAAGGAAGTTATCTTAATGACCTTTAGGTGCTCACCCAGTTATTTATTGCCATTATTTAACATGGATGGTTTTGGATTTTGACAGTTTCTCCCCAGTATCCTGCTGTGTTAGTTTTCAAGATGTTAAAAATCAAAACAGAATGAGGTTTCCAAAATAAAAGAGAGATATAAGATGGACAAGACCCAAAATCAGGCCCTTCACATTTCTGTGTGCAATATTCCATGCAGAAGAATTTGCTAATGATTCCTTAACTGATTGAGTGGAATCTGAGTAATTTTACAAGGTACTTTTCCCCTTGTTCCTTTTCTCATGCTTTTTGAGCATTCAGTAGCAGTGGGGGTCTCCTTCCATTCACTTCTCCTGGGTGCTTTTAAAGTGTTCCTGAAGCCGGGACGAGAGCTGAAGTGCTGAACAGCTTGAAGCAGAGTCACAGGTTTGCCTGTGCCATATGGCAGTATTAATCGAGAATGGTTATAAATGTGAGGTTTGAAATGGATAATTCTCAGTGCTTTTCTTGAAGGTGGTGTGAAAGGAAACAAAAGAAGACGTTATTGTTTCTGACAAACACGTGATGGTGCTGCTGTTAGAAGCTGCACTTGAGCTGTGTAACACCAATACTCACACGGCAGACCTGTGCTCACATCAGCCTTTATCTGTACTGCACATTCCCTAAGCCAAACTGTGATGAGTCCTTGTCCCCAAGGATTTTTAGCTTCTTACCCTTTCCTTGAAAGATTTTAGGGTTCTCACAAACTGGAAACCCTGAAGCCTCTGGGGAGCCTGAGTTTTCTCTGTGTACTTGGTGATCTCCATGGGGTTTGTGTTTGGGGCTCTGTGTGAATCCTCTGGCAAAGATTCTGGTGCCTTTATTCCTGCTGTCAGTTTTCCAAATTTTATTTTCCTCCTATCTGCAATGTGGTGGATTTTTTTTTTATTATTATTTTTTACTTAGCTGGGAACACTACAGTATGATGATTTTCAAGTCTCTGTCTCTAAGCAAGACAGGGCCTTTCATTGTATTAGTAAGGCAGAAGATCTAAGATCAAAATCTTCAATTTGTGCGAATCACTCAGCATAAGTGTATCTTGCAAAACATCAAGCAAACCTTTCAGGGTTTTATAAATCAGTATCAGTGAACTGTGCCTAAAAATGGAGAGTGGAGAACTTGGGAGTACTGAAGTGCAGTGTGTACCTGTAGTCTTGTATGTGGCATTACATTGAATTTCTGAGGAGTGGCCCAGGAAAGCACATGCTAAAACAGTCTGAGGGAGGTGTATGGGGAAAGAAGGGTATGGTGGTTAGTTAAATTACATAAGTTCAGTAAGAAATATTTGTGTGGTTTTGTCCTTTCTGATCTGTAGCTAGTCTACTGATCCAACTTTGAGATCCTGGAGATGGGGATAATAAGAAACTGAGGCTGTATATATGAGATATTTGAGGGTACTCTTCAAATGGGGTACGGCCAATGTCTTCTGCCAGTAAAACAGGCTTTATATTATCAATTAATGTAACTTTAGGCTTATCTTGCAGAATGTATAACCTTGGCAGTATAAAAGCACATGTAAGGGTAATATTTTGTTTCTATTTATAGACATTTTTTCTTGGATTTTTAAGTTGGAATCTTCAACAATGTGAATTTAAGCCAAAGACCCCATATCCAGCTTTTAGTTAGTCTTTTAGTATTAATTAGTATTTATCATTATATAAATATAGAATTTTGGTACAGAGAGTGAGGATAAAGAAGGACAATGCTTATGACGTAAGAATTATTTAAGGGTAAAGAGTGAGAAGGAGAATAATAATTCAGTGTTAAAAAACTACAGCACCAGTACTTTTTATCTTCAGATCCTTCCTCTTCTACTGCCAACTGTGCAACTTGTATTTCATATTTCTTGCATATTTGCACAGCAGTCAAAATGTAACCTAAAGACAGTATAATCATCAGTCAATGCCCACTGGTAGCACAGCAGTGCAGTCTGTGGGCTTTTTAGCAAACATTGATAGCTTTCACCAGCCATTTATTTTTTTTTATTTCTCATATCTTGAAATCATTGTTTTGAATGTATCATATATCCCTGATTAAGTATTAAGTAGGATATCCAAACAATTTATGGAAATATCCAGTCTTTTATTTTGTTAGTTGGCTTATTTCTCAATGTAGTTTTTAATGTATTGGTGTAGGTAATAATGTTTTTGTATACCAAAGTTTTACAGGGTAGGAGCCCAAACAGGAGCTCTGTTCCTATCAGATATTTTGACAAATATTTTCCTTTAGATGCTGGAAAACATGTGATCACCACTGTGAATTTTGGTTGCCACGTCTAAGGGAAAAATTGTTTTATTCTGTTCATAAAGAGAGTATGATGAAAAATTCAGGTTTCCCATGACTAATTCTAAATGATTGATTATGAAGAGCTGCAGGAAGTAAATATGTTCTTCAGTAATTTATGTGTTAGACTAATTTGCAGCATTTATGAGAGGAGCCTGACAAATTTAGGACAAATTTGTGTGTGTGTTGTTGTGGCATAGCTGTGTGTGCAGACCCACCTAGTGGAGGTAAAGCAGAAACTGCAAGAAATTTTTTTCCCTGCAGGTTTTCTTTCCAAAACTGTGTTAGCTAAACTGATAAAGGTGCCCTTTCACTAGCAAAACTTTGTCTGGATTTGATTGGCATTGCAGTAGCAGCTGCAAGGTGCAGCATCTCTCATATTCCTCATTGGTGTGATAGAACTTGGTAGAGAAGGTCAAACCTTAGGCTGGGATAATTGCGGATAGCAAGAATAAAAAATGAACTTGGTTTGTACCATTTGCAATTGAAAGTAAAATCACATTCAGAATGCACAGTCTGAAATATGTTTCCATGTTTATCTTCTTTCCACAGGAATGAGCTGGAACGCCAGTTTCTTGAGCTGTTACAGTTCAATATTAATGTTCCCTCCAGTGTTTATGCCAAGTATTATTTTGATTTGCGATCCCTGGCAGAAGCGAATAACCTGAGCTTTCCCTTGGAGCCCCTCAGCAGGGACAGGGCATATAAACTTGAGGTAAGGCTTTTTAGATTGCTCAGTGTTAAATGTATAGGGGGAGTGGGAGTTTCTGTCCTGTTTCTCCCTTCTCCCATCTCTTCCTAGATACTCCCATGAGATATCAGAATAGCATAAGCCTGATTTTCATTATGGTTTTGTTTATGCTTTGAGTATTCATGGCTGTGGGGACAGCTTTTAGACCCAGTTTGCTTCATACCTTACCTTGCTTTCCATTTCTTTTCAGTTGCAGTTGTCTGTATTGGCCTTGTGAAAGTACCCACAAGTTTTATAATTATTGTATTCACAGTCTAGTGTTGCTTGTTCATTTGGTTTCTTAAAACTGATTACCCACCTTAAATGACAGAATATTAACAACCATTGCTGATAATAGCTGTTCCATGTTCTTCTTCTGCAAGTGCTCAGTTTCATGTGGGTCCAAGTTTATCTCCCATGATAAACTGATTATCCACCTTAAATGGAGTGGATAAGTAAAGGGAGAACAGAAATGAGCACATGCCTTCAGTGAATAAGTCATGGATGCTTATGAGATGTGGATATCCCATATGCCAGAAGCACTGTTGGATGGTCTGGACCTGTGAAATGCTGGGCACTGTGAATACCACAGACACAGGAGGAATTGAAATTACCAGCTAATTGTGGGCTCTTTGCAAGACTGCAACATATTTTTCCTCATTTTTGGGGTATGATTTTTTAAATATGGGCATTACTGCACTGGGTGTACATTTTGTTAGCCATTTTGACAATTTTCATTAAATGCTGGCTGCTTTTAACAGTACACATCTTTAATTACATAACGTCTCTGCATTGAGGGTTGTTTGCCTGTGGGTTAGACTGAGCTTTGCGTGTTCTGAAATTCCTAGTGCTCCTGTGGAGCAGGCAGGCAGTTCTGTGCACGTTTTTGTGGAGGGAAATGGTGTGTGGGAGAGTTAATTGACTTGTTTGTGACTGTAATGGGAGCTAGAAGTGGTGGAGAAAGAATCAAAGAAAATTTCACTTATTTCCCATTCTTTCTAAATATTCTTCCTAAATTGCACAGGTAGCTTCAATAAGAATGTCATTCTCTGTGTGGAGTGTGATCTAAATCTGCATCAGATTTTGTTTCTATTAAAGAGAATATTAAAAAAAATTTATTTGGATTGTAATCTTACTTGAAAAGAGGTGTTTTACTGAGTTAGGGGAGTCTTGATAGTAAGTGCTATTACATGTATCAAAATTAAATTAATTGCTTTTTGATTTAGCCCACAGTTTCTTAAAACTGTCCATCTATATCACACACAATGTATAACAGCATGTTACAAATGAATGCAACAATGATGCTCCTAAAACCTTAGTAGGAAAAAAAAATGGGAAATTATGGTAAATAGACAGAGAATACTGGTAATTCTTCTGTACTAGCTAAAGAAAGGGCATATTTAAAAAGAACTAATGGAATATTTTTTCAATAAAATCTGTATTATTAAAAACTTCCCCATTGGGCATGCTTTGAGCTGCCAGCAGAAGTTGGCTGTAAATAACCCTGTCAGCCAGGGGATGTCTTCAGGGTAGAGGAGGAGTATCTGCTGTGAACCAGTTTGGTCTGCCACCTCCTTGCCTCTCTGTTCTGTGGCCAGAAGGAAGGGAACTGCCTTGTTCCCTGGCAGTACATGGTTGTCATTAGTGTGCCCTTGAAACTACTTGACAGCATAATTTATAGCCCAGTTCCCTGAGCACAGTGAAGCATTTCGCTTGCCAAGAGTCATCAAAATGCGTTTGCAGCACTTCTGTAGTCTCTTGTGTGCTGTTCAGACCAGAGTTCTCTGTTTTAAAACAGTTGCCTGGATTGTCAGGTGGAGTAGATGTAGTACCACACAGACTGTGATATTTTTGATACTGAGAGAAGAGCTGCAGTCTGTGATGAAAGACAACAGCCTCACAGCACATGCATTCATGCAGGGGAAGGATTTGCCTTGTGTGATAAACTAGAGAGACCTTGCTCAGTCCTAAGATTAAAGCAACTTATGGCATTTGAGATCACAAAAGTTGTTGTGTGGAAAAATAGTTGTATTATAAAATATTTTTGCTATTTTTGCATTTTAAATTTATTTTTTATATCTAAAGCAGAAGCATTAGATCTGATGTGGCATAATCTGCATTGTGATTTCTGCAAATATCATGAAGCTGACGTGACCACGATGATGAAAAAAGACCCTAAAATGACCTAAAAGGATGAGGCTAGTAAGAAATGTACCTCATCACAGGGAAGTGCTGGACAAGATCCATCAGGATAGAGGTGTTACAAGAGATTGCAGTACTTGTTAAACATTACATCACTTTCTCCAGCATCTGCAGTGGATGTTTTATCTTACGTCATCTTCTCAGAATTGACACTTAAAAAGCAGCTTTGTCTTTTAAATGACAAAATGAAAGTAATTTTTTTTTTCTTTTTACTTTTTAAATATCTGTGGACTGAAGTGTCCTGGATTTGTTATACCAGTCCACCTAGTAGCCAGAAACCATTTTTATGAATCCTCTTGTTTTTTTTTTTTTCTCCTGTTCAATGGAATCAGGCAGGTTAAAAATGGCAAATAAACTTTCATTAGATCATCCAGTCTGTCCACCTGCCAATGCTGTTTGTTCCAAACAGCATATGTTATAGTGTGTTTTGTTCTTCCTTTTAATTATGTCAAATGTCAAGGCGTTCTTTGCTTTTCCTGAAACCTGTTTTCTAATATGGGAGAATTTTTTTTCTGCCAAGAAGATTGTTGAGTGTCCAGCCTTAATCTGTTATTTCGTCATTTCCTACTCTTGCACCTGGTTTTTCTGCCATCTACTGAGCTAAATATGAGTCAAATTCTCCTCTTTAGGTCAAGTAGACAAAACGTGTCTGTCCTATTGCTGCTTGTGATCTTAGCACTGTGCTTGTTCCAAGGTTAGATTTTGTAAGAGCATTCATTAGTGCACTCCCAGTTTCACTGATGCTGTCTGAGATCTTTATTGTTGGGATGGTACTTGAGCACATAGTTCAAACCCTTTGAAATATGTGCTGTTTTCTTGACCCTAAAGAGATACAGTCCCATAGATCAAACAGACAAAACCAGGAGGAAAATACGTAAGTTACAGAGAAGTGTCTGTATATCTCTTCAGCTTTCCACTGTCAGAGGAACTTGATTGCAGTTGTATGATCAGAACCCTCAAAGCCAGGAGGAAAAGGGAGAGCAAAACAGAGCAAAACTCACCTTTTTGGGTCTTAGGAGTAACCAGTTGTGCTTTTCTCGTGCTTTATAAATTAAGGAGAACTACCTGCTGTTTGTCCCTGCTCAGTTTCCTCTGGTTAGTCAGTTTTTGGAGGGTGTGCAGCACTCGCAGTCTGTGCTTTTGTGCATTCCTGAGAGTGAGCCCATAACCAGGTGTGCTGCTTTCCTGCCCTGCACAAATGTGCATGCAGCCAAAATTTGTACTGCTGCTTCTACTATTACTACTACTACTGCTGCTGCTGCTACTACAGCCATTCTCCAGCCTTCTTTCTCCTTACTTGTCCCCTCTTCCAGTGATAGAATCTCTAGGAGAGTCATACAACTAGCAGAGGAACTGACCTGAGTTCTGTATGCATGGGTATAATGGAAGAATAGATATGTGTATGCATTCTAGCTGAATACATACGTTACAGCCAAGTCCAAAAAAAATCACATGATGAATTAGTGTTGCTGGATTTTAAGATTGTTTTGATTTGAGATGAAAAGTGGTCCCTTGCAACTGTCAAAAATTGGTTTCTTTTTCTAGCAATAAAAGCAACAGAATTATCAGATAGGTGATTATAGCTATTTTGATTTATTTTAACTGAAGGACAATAATAAATATTTACCATTTTCTGCTCTTTTTGTTTCCCCATATGTTGTACTCAAGTTGACTAACTACCTTGCCAAGTATGCTCCAAATGTTGATTTTATAACTTACTTGCAGATGAAGAGGCATCTTTAGATACTGAACTGCTTTAAATGGCAGTGTGTTTCTTATCCATATGATTCATCAGCATAGCCTAGAGATGCCAAATATTAAGTGCCACTTCCAAGCAACAATTCATTTTGTCTGACCAAGTGCCAGAACAGAAATTTTCCTGTGTCACACAGGCAATTTTGAAGTGATTACCTTCTGTGACTGTTTGATGCCTAAGGTAATAGTCTGATTTGGCAGCTGAAAGAAGCTGAGCTCACCTAAGTACACCTCTTTGTCATGCCATGCCTTGGCACATGATTTCATGGATAAACATTTTTAACCCATTGAATTGCATCAACTCTCTTAGTCCATCAAGTTCCTGGTTAAATTAAATAAGATTTTATTAAGCAGTTTTAAGTGAATGAAGTTACAGTCTAAGAAGTAATATGAGAATACCTTTGTTTTATTCTGTTGTTCTCTTCGTGTGCACCATGAAGGAAAACTGCATTCAAGAGTAGTCTTAACAAAACTGTCCAGTTTTCAACTAAAAAGTAGCAGCTGTTCTCTTGGTGGTGGTAGGTTTTATGTTGTTTTGTGGTTTGGGTTTGTTTTGTTTTGTTTTTCTAATTTAATGTTTTGTGGCTGGCTTGGCCAGAGCATTAGGTGAATGTGCTCTCAGATGTATGAGTTGTGTACTTCTGCCATACCTGTCCCTGGTCTTTGCAGGACTATTCAAATTAAAGGACTCTTCACTGCTACAACTTGCTGTGCTATAGAAGTAAAGATCAAGAGAGAAAATTGATGATCCATGGAGTCAGGATGTTAAATTATTTGTAATGCCTTGTGTTATAATCAAACACTTCTACTGGGTTTGTTTGTACAGTACTCTTTATTAAACATTTTATCTTAAGGCATAACTTGAAAGCATTCCTGAGTAAATAAAAAATGCGGCGTTAGGTTTGTCGTATTTTTGAATTTGACCTTGACTCTCCTTGCAGTGAGCTTTCTCTGCAGCTCTGCAGTTTGATTGCCAGAGTTAACATCCCTACTGATGCCAACCACAGCTTGTCCCAGCCATATGAACTCTAATAGACAGGCTATTTTAGGGAACAGTAAATTCATGTGTGTGAGGTCCATAATAAATACTATTTTTAAACTTGGCTAAAAACAATAGAAGAAACATCAAACATTAACTCCAGTATAGCATAAAAGGAGTTGACATTTGAATAATGTTTGTCTCTCTCTTCAAAAGGTTTAAAAATGACTATGTATTTATAATGAATTAAATTATTCTGAATATGAGTTTCATTTCCCTATATATATGGAATTATATAAGATAGCCTGGTCACTTAAAAATTATCATCTGCTTCTGAAATGTGAGTTAACATCAGCTTGGGAGGCAAAGCAGAGTGAGTGTTCTGCAAGACCCTTTCTCAAAAGAGAAAAATATAATACGAGATTTTTAGGAAATAAAAAATTTAAGGGCCCCACGATTTTTAAATTCTCCAAATACACTTACGGTTTCTATAGTTGTTAAGTTTTCCACGAGTTTTGATTTATGAAGGATGATACATCAGTTTAGGTTGTAGAAATGGATAAGCATTGTCAGCTGCCTCAGTGAGGTTTGTGATGGTTCACCTGCAGAGACAAGGCTTCGGGTCTGCTGGGTCCTTCTGAAGCTGCCACGTGGGGCAATGCAAGCCTTCCTTCCAAGACAAATGAGATGAAAACTAGGATTTGAGGAGAATGTCTTCATGTGTTTTGCTTAATGATGTAACTTTTGTAATTTCACCTATGTGAAGAAATCTGCATCTGGTGTTGCTTTAGCTGTACAGCTGTGGGCAATGCCATTGAGGGTTTTTCATCTTTTGTCTTGCAGGCCATTTCTCGCCTATGTGAAGATAAATACAAGGACTTCAGGAAAGCTGCAAAGAAGCGGTCGGTCAGTGCTGACAATCTGACTGTGGTTAGATGGTCCCCTGCAATTATCTCCTAACAGAGGAGACTGGAATATTCCTACGGACCTACTGTTTCATCCATCCATTTTTTTCAGAGTGGGCTGGGGGCGGGGGGATAAAGAAAAAAAGACTTTTGATTTTTTTATTTTTAAATCTGTCAAGCTGCCTTTACAGTGCCTCCCCATTGTGTAGCACACGAGTGAAATGCCTAACGGAAGGAGAAATGCAGAAATTGGTGTTCGGGAGAGAAGATCGGCAACAATTATTTTCTCACTTCCACTAACAGCTTTACACTTTTATGAGGAAACAGCAAATCAGGTGCTTGGAAGAAGAAACAAAAAAAAAAATGAAGTAGAGGCAGAAAAATATTAAAGAACTCTGCCATTTTCTATTATATTGTACTCATGAAGGGAAATGGCAGCATGAAAAAAAAAACATGTAGTCAGATGACTGTGCACTAGAGGAATGACATTGGGAGAGTTCCATCTTAAAGGTTTCTCTTAATATCTTTTTGTTGTTGTTGTTGTTGGGTTTTTTTGCATTCCTCATTGCTGCTTCCCAGGATAAATTCTTCCCCTTGCACAGCAGGAAATAAAAAAAATCTGTATTTACAGTAGCACAAGCCCCTGAATAAATAGTGTTGGGTTTTTTCACTGCACTTTTCTCTGTAACCTGTCTTATTAGCATTATTCTTCTTAATTCTTATGCATATGTTACATATGTTTCTTGTATGCCTTTTATTGTATTTCAAAAGAGAGAACTTGACCATAGTGCTGAACCAAAAGTGTGTACAGGGATCAGAAGATCTTCGTAATTTCATGATGTGTTTTATTTATAGTATACTTGGGTGCTTGTGCCTTCCTGAGTTCTTGGAATCATTTATTTTTCCTTAATATAAAGATACAGTTGTTAAAGTCTTGAGATGATGATGATAAGACTTGGGCCAAATCTCTGAAATTTGCAACAGATCTTGTGATCCTTTTTGCAGATTTTCATAGCATTAGAAGTTTAGCAGAATTCATCCATTTTGAAGGAGATTTTTTTTTTTTTTTGTGACCTGACAAGTTCATTCCTTCACCTCCAGTTCCATTGTTGCAAGCAATATTCTCAATTTTTATATGTTTACTTTAAATCAAAGTGAGTCTGTTTGTATAAAATAAAAAATAATAAAAAAATTGTTCCAACGAGAAGGCCTCTAGAAGAGCAGAATGGAAATCTTAATGAGGTATCTGTCACAAGGAGATTTGATTTGGAAGCTAAATACAAACCCTCATGTTTTTCAGTGTAGGTGCTTATAGAAGTTAAAAGTAACTGAACTGTGAATATAATTTCCAACTCGGTTTATTGAACTCCTCTGTTGTTATTATTATTTCGCTCTTACTGTGGCTGTTCCCCCCCTTGGCAATTGTAAGAACCTTTATACAAAATAACTTGTCAGTATAAGGATATTTGCTTCATAACACCACAGGGTGATTTTTTTCCCCCAGTTGTTTTTTTTTTTTTTTTTTTGTTTTGTTTTGGTTTTGGTTTTTTTGCGCAGTTTAGAAAGATACAGCTGAAAGCTCTCAGTGTCCTTGTGACTGTCGCTGAAGGGAATGGCAGCAGATGTCCCTGATTTGTGCACTACTGTTGTAACCCACAAAGATTCCATGTTTGTTTTGTTAAGCCCTATGGGCTTGTAGCTACCTGGGGGCCCAGAGATGCACACCTGGCTCCCAGAGCGATGCTGATCCGGGGCCTCCGGGCAAGGAGGCACCCACAGGATCACAGCAGAGAAACCAAACAGCTTCCTGTCAGCTTTCCAATGGGATTTGTGTAGTTTGAGACATGAAGGCTTTGTCCATAAATTCTCCTGATGTTCTTTAGGCCTTTAAAATAATCTAATTCTCATCACTTCTTGTTGTGCCAATGCATCAGAACTGTGAGTATCCCAAGTCCATTTTTCCCTTGAACATGGAATGTAAGGCAAGTGTTTATAACAAATTACAGCATTTGAAACCTCTTTACAGATAGTATCAAAAGGAACATTTTCAGAGCATTTGAAATTCATCCTTTATAAGCATAAATTTAGGCTTTAAAATATGTAAAATATTTTGATTTATCAACACTTTGTTAAACTATTTTCCATTTAACTTGATATCAGGAATATTGGTTTTATCCATTTCTGGGTGATAGAGATATGAACTTTGGATTATGTAAAGATATCAATGCATCTACTATAATTTTTGTGAAGTTTATTAAACTACTTTAAAGATTGTATAGTCTATTTATTGTATGTATGTACATACAGTCTGATACTTTAAAAAGTGGATTCCGTAAAACCTGGCTCAGTCTTGTTTAGACTATTGAATATCGTTTTAGCCTTGTGCACTGGACTCTACCTCTGTATAGGAGAATTTTCCATATTCTTAATTAGTACTGATTCTGTGATTAACTTGGTTATGTTTCTTGCACTAAGAATTAAAAAAAAATCTGCTGTAAGTGTGGATTTTTTCTTTAGTTTTACCATATGAATCCTCTACATTTAGACGGATGTTTCGTTCCCTCATGGTTATAGAATAATTCTTTGCTTTTTCTTCTGGTTTGTTCCAGGGTTGCCAAAAAATACAGTACCTGTCAGTAAATCTGAAAAGTGTCTTTTGTTTGCAAGGTATTCTATACCAGGTAATTAAAAATTAATTATTATTTAGGCTTATGTTGTGTTTAGTGTAGTTTTTCAGCATTGTATGGAAAATACCATTGCAAAGTTAGAGCATCACTGGAGATGTAAGAAGGGAGGAGAACCATATGACATTTTGATTAACAGCACAAAGACATTGTGTTTTGCTGTAAATGTTTTCTGGATTAAGGTTTTCATTATTGCTTCGGTCACCGGCTCAGAACTAAAAAGGTGTAGGAGATATAATAAACCTGTCCCTTCAAGTATCATTGTCCTAATGAATTGTTTTTATTTGTTGAACCAGTGGGCCACTTGTTTGGTCATTTATGTGTTGATAATTGGATCGATATTTTGAAAAAGGCATCTTGTAGGGGTTTTAATCATTCATCAGTATGCAGCCCAAAGTTGCTGCCATAATTCCTCTTTCCACCTGCAGACCTCTTTATATTTGATTTGCTGTTTGGATTTCTTTGTTTGTCAGTGACATATATCATTCTGACAGTGTCATGTGGGACTGAGAGCACTGGAGTCATGGGATGAAGTGCAAAAACAAAATGGTCAAATCACCTTTTTCCACCTTTCACAAAACCCAGTCAGCTTTTCAAATGATGCATGTTTTCTATTGCTAAAAATATACAAAATCCTATCCTGTAGCAGGGTAATGGATTTGTTTTGTTAAGGATTTGGGGATTTTTCTTAGAGAGAAATTAGCATATATTGCATAATTGCTGGTTACATTTATGGAGTCTGAACTAAGACTTGGTGTTTTAACACCTTTCTCTCCAGCTCCCCTAATGCCAGAAACCTTAGCTATAATATAAAAATTAGAAGTAACAAAAACCTCATCAGAAAAAAGCAATGGTGTAATGGTGGCAGATGACAAAATGACATCTGTTAGTGTTGGCTGTATAAAAATAACAGTATGTGGGAGGGAATAGAGGAACTGAAAGAGCAGAAAAAAAATCCCAGTATCTTAACACCTGAAGCAACAAATTATTTACAGTCATCCTTAGTTGGTAATGAGCATTTCATTTCCCAGTGATGTTTAAACTCCTAATTGAAGTGCTGCACATCCACTGCAGGCTCGTGTTTCTCTCTGCTTCTTCCTGGTCTTCATGTGGAATGCACTCAGCTTAGCTTTTAGCACTTTCTGCACTTTTGTGTAAAACACATTTTTCTGTAATCAGAACTTTTTTTTTTACTTGAATTGGCAGTTGTTGATAACATTTGCCTACTCTGCAGTGAAGTTCCCATTTAGTGTCTCTAATGTGTTCTGAGAAATTGGTTCAACTATAAACACAAACATACCTGTGTGAGTTCACTGAGATGTACATGGAAATCTACTACACCTGGAGTGCAATATGTGTTTTTCTGCTGGTTTTGTCTGTCTTCTCATCAACTGAACTCCATCCTGAGGAAACCACAGAACTGGTGAGACTGAGCTGCATGAACTAAAGCTAACGATGGCAGATGTGTAGTGACCACTGCTCTGTGAAAATGCTTTAAAAAGGGAAACAAGATTTAGAAGAAAAGGTGCTGCTTATAAGGAAAACAATAGTGATAGCAGACGTAGATTATGATGTTGAAAAGGATTGTTTCACAATGTGTGAACCTGCTTTCCTGGATCTTATGAGAATCAACAAAAAGTAACTGCCGAGTTGCAGAACCACAGCTTGAAAAGGACTGAATGCATTGAGGGCATTGAGGCACTGTAACAGGTTGCTGAGACAAGCTGGAGATGCCCCTTCCCTGGAAGGGTTCATGGCTGGAGAATTTGAACTAAATTATCTTTAAAGTCCCTTCCTAATCAAGTTTTTCTATGATTACAGCTAAGAAAGCCAGGCTCAAGTTTGTTTCTTGCCTGGCCTGGATCACTGTGCTCTTCCCACTGAAGAAAGAAGCAGCAGGATGGCAAATTGAAGAAAGGCAGGTGACAGAGCAGGACAAATAGACTCTACTTCTTGGGTTCCTTCTAGAATATTTGGCCTGATGCAATTTGGTGTGAAAAAAGAGTTGTTGTTTCATGCCCTTTACACCATGTTTAATGTATTTCAGTATTATCAGCAGAGGCTTTCAGCTGTTACACCTGGAGATATTGTTTGGTGAAGATCTGCTAAGCAAGCTTCTTGGTGTGGTGAAATGGGGCTGTACACCCATGAGTTGTCCAGAACCTCTACTAAGAGTTTGTAAAGCTGTGAAGATGTCAATGGTCTCTACAGATGGAGAACAGCAGATGACAACAAAATGTCAGAAATTGTATTTTGTAAAATACAATTTCCCAATGTACTAAGGTCATTTACCTAATGTACCTGATTTAGTTTCAGACCTTTTTTCCTTGCATCTCTGACACATAGACTGGGGTGCTGTTGTAACTAATGCAGTAAAACTTTGAAGCTGGAAAATCTCTGGAACTATCACTGCCACCCCTTTGAATTCTCTGGCAGTGAAGTGAATCCTCAAAAAGCAGATGAAGATTTACTCATGTGGCATAAGGGCTTCTCTAAACAGGCGTTAGAGTAAGACATCACCTTCATGTAAGAGATTCCACAGCACACTTAAGTATAGAGCTAATTCTTCTCTTAGCTGTAAGTTTCCTTGCTTCACTTCTCTGGGTTTTCATGCCCCTGTAGTTTAGATGTTAATATAAATTATTCTTCATGGAAACAGTATGTTGGGAACTGGCAGCTGTGATACCCTTGCTGTCTTATATTTAAACAATACAGATCATCCTGTGGCCACATCCTTCTCTTTCATGTATTTCAGGCAAGTGACGAATTCTGCTGTAGAAAAAGGAGAGGCCAAAACGATGGGGATTGGTGTGCTAGAAGGGCTGTGAGGCACAATTCAGTGTATATATTTTAAAAATAATCCAGGAAATAAAGATGGAGAAATGTATTTGTACTTTCTATGCTGTCAATACCAAAAGGCATTGATGATACTTTGAGAAGTGTGATGGTGTTGAAGCTCTTGGGCAAAGAGTTTAAGGGATTATTCAATGGGGCAGGATATGCAAAGTGTTTTTCATTGATTTGGGGAGGAGGAAGACCAGGCTGTACTGAGCAAAATGGTACAAAAGAACATGTAAAATAGATACACCAAATCATCTTGAACATCAAGCATTAGAATGGCAGAACTAGCTTGATGTTGGTACATTATTTCAGTGTTTGCATAGTATTGGTGGTCCCCTTACTTCCATAGTAACATCCTTTTTCTTTTATGGCATTCCAGTACAAGGTGGTCCTGTGTAGGCAAAAGCTTAGTACACATTGTTAATTATTAGAATATAATCAGTAATACTTGAAAATAGACTTTACAAAAAAAGCTAAAATAAAAAAGTAGTAAGAGTTCCTGTTAAGAACAAAAGGTGCAGAGGGTAACCTGATGCTGCTGTAGAGCTTCATCAGTATGAGCATTAAATAATGAGAGTCTCCTGCTTGTGACAGCTCTCAGTACATGACAGTCCCACTTCTGAAGTCACAGGTTGGGAAGGTGAGAAGAATTGTGGAGAACAACCTCCTAGCCCTGTCCCCTGGTAATGACAACCCAACTCCAACTACTGTAGTTACAGTAGTTTAGCACAGCAGAGTTTTGAACAGAGATGAAAAATTATTCTTCCAAATTGCATCATTGCTTTGTACAAAAGTAAGAATTGTTTAAATGTGTAAATCACCACCAGCATTTGTGATATTAAATATTTAACTTATTACTGCCAGCAGGTATGTACCTTACATCCTGCCATGGGAATGAGTCCACAGTCTGAATGTGTTCTCTGGCAGTGCTTTGTAGGGCACCTATTCTAAGTCTGTCCTCTGGAGGAATGATTCTTTTAACCCAGGAAAATAGTTGGGTGTATGTTGATAATTTTG